GTTTGTGGCAGCCCTATTAAGGGTCCAGCGGAGGTCATCAAATGTCGTCTTTATGGGGGAGAAAGTTAAAGTTTGAAGGGATTGAGGACAAAACCGTCACGATCTCGAGTGTAAAGAGTGCAGTCTGTTATTTGTTTAGTCACAGATTTCCTTTTTCCTGTGCTCAGAGTTTCTTTTGGAAGCTAAATGTTTAGGCGAGTGTTTGTCAGTGCACGCTGTAATTGTTTGAATCCAGTCTGTTCTGTCCTACCACAACTACTCTGCACAGTTTCTCTTCTTCTCTGCTCTCAGCCCATGGACCAGAGCTCCCTAAAGAATAGTGACGTCCTCATTCTGACAGGCCTCACTCAGATGCCTACTGCCAACCCAGACGGCATGCTGGGAGAATTCTGCAGTAACTTGGGTGGGTTTTAATGTAGCGCTTAGATTTCTGTGGCGTGTGAAAAGAACCAAACGTTGAAGTCATTCTTGAATGATGTTGTCTGTGCTTGTTCATCTGCGTTCTGCAGCCATGACCATCCGGGCAGGAGGAAATGTGCTGGTGCCGTGCTACTCCTCGGGAGTGATCTACGACCTGCTCGAGTGTTTGTACCAGTTCATAGAGAGCGCCAACCTGGGGACCACACCCTTCTACTTCATCTCACCCATAGCCAACAGCTCGCTGGAGTTCTCTCAGATCTTCGCCGAGTGGTGAGCGGCCGTTTATCGAAAGCTTCTCGATTCTGTCGTGAAAGTTTGATTTTAGGTTTTACTGTTTTTCTTCAGCATGCGCTCGGTTAGCTTGTCCTCATTTTTCCACGTCTTCCACAACAAGTCATGATGCAGTCACTCTGATAATTAGGAACACAGAAGTGCAGCAAACAGCAGAGAGACGATAACGTGTGTGACTGTGGAATATTCCACGTGATTTTTCTTTTTCTCAAATATTTCAGGCTTTGTCACAACAAGCAAACAAAGGTTTATCTCCCAGAGCCGCCTTTCCCACACGCAGAGGTGAGTCAAGAACACTGGCAGTAGGCCTGGGCCATATCATACCGCTCACGGTAACACCGGTACAATGTTAGGCAACGATAAGAAAATGAAATATGGCGATAGAATATGGGTAAAACGCGCATGTGCAGTGCCTTTGTTTACATACACACATGGTGGAAAATCATGGCGACGCAGAATGAGAAGAGCGAAAGTGGATCGTTGAATGAAACACATGAACCTGAACTGGTTTGTAAAAATGCTGCAGCTTCAGTGGTGGAACTGGTTTAGCTTTCATCCGTCAGATACACAACAAAGCTCTATTTTTGGTAGCGCATGCTAGCGGGCCGTCGTTATTACTGAACCGATTTTATGGACACGGCGCTCAAAATTCTGTCAAATGTTTCAGTTCGACTTTGCTAAGCTACGAAGCCGCACCGCTTGATGGATTGTCGGAGCATTACGGCTATCGTAGGCGGAGCCTCGCGGAGTGATACGTACTGTGCTTCAACATATAACGTTTAACCTCTTTTTAAGTTGTGTGGATATTATACATGGTTATGCTGAGGATACGTCGGCCAGTTTCCACTGGAAATGCCTTTTGGTTAAACTGTCAGCGAGGAATTTGCACTGTTAAATATTTATATAACTTTAATGCACATAAAAAAAACAGCTGCTTGTTTAAGTGAAAATACATTGGTAGTTTTTTGCACTAATAAAGTTGTGGAGTTGTAAAGTATTTTGTCTCGTGTCAATTATATCGTCAGTTATATCGTTAGCACACATTTTCAAATATATGTATCGTGATAAATATTTTTGGCCATATTGCCCTGCCCTACTGGCAGTGCACTTCTTTATACTGAAAATAATCATTAGATTATAGGGAACCTACTTTTTTTAGGTTTTTAACTTGAGGTCCCAGTGGAGGTCATCAAATGTCGTCTTTATGGGGGAGAAAGTTAAAGTTAGAGATGGACCCGATACTGACCTAAATGACTGGATCAGATATTGGAGAGAAATAAAAAAATGTAATCGATCCATTAAATATCACAAAAGCACCTCACAAAACTTGCGACACGCCGTAACTCAGCTCATAACCTCAGCACGTCAGAGCAGTGTGCGTCACGTGATAGAGCAGCTGTGGCGTGCGAGAGCATTGGTTGAGCATTTGGAGCTTTGCTACCAAACCAGCATTTCATCTCTGAGGAAGTATTTATATTTTATGCAAATTCATGTTTGGTTGGAGAAAACGTAGCTTTGAATTGGAAAGCATTAGGCAAATAGTGTTCGAACAGGCCAGTGCTATCACAAGTCATTAATAACAGCTGACATGTAGCCACGAGTTGCATCAAATGTGAGTGAGATGTGCTTTTGCCTGGAGCGCATCGTACCTCTAACACGTTATAAAAAGCAGAGTCGACTGATGCAAAGACACCAGGATGAAAACACAAGTGCACCTGTGGTGACGATGTTGATAAACTGGTGCTTAAATGTGCTGCTGATGTTTCAGCTCATCCAAACCAACAAGCTGAAGCACTACCCCAGCATTCACGGAGACTTCAGCAGCGACTTCCGTCAGCCCTGCGTGGTTTTCACCGGCCACCCCTCTCTGCGCTTCGGCGACGTCGTTCACTTCATGGAGCTCTGGGGCAAATCCAGCCTTAACACGATCATCTTTACTGGTAATTACAGCTGTCGTTACATCTCAGACGTGACTAAAACAAGGAAAGCTGGTAATGTCCTGTGCCTGATCTTTCTCACTCCCAGAGCCGGACTTCTCCTACCTGGATGCCCTGGCTCCGTACCAGCCGTTAGCCATGAAGTGCGTTTACTGTCCCATCGACACACGGCTCAACTTCCACCAAGTATCAAAGCTGCTCAAGGAAGTCCAGGTATGCTGTTAGCACCTGATCTGA